AGGGTTTAGGGTTTAGGGGCTCATTACTACTAGGGCTACTATCAGGCTACTAGCGGGGTTACTTGTGAGTTTGCTTTTTTAACGGTTACTCGAAGTATAAGCAATAAATGGTTTTAATAGATACAGGTTCAAGGGTAGGGTTTCGAGATAAACCTGACACATGGCAACAAAGGCTTTTCCACTCCGGCTTAGCAATGCTTTTCAGGCGAGACCCCCCCCCCCCCCCCTGCAAAAGCAGCCGGTCCGCCTCAGGCTCACTTTCATATTCTTGAAGCCTTGCTCGTGCGAATACCGTAATCCTTCCTTTGAGTAAGGCCTCCCGTGATGTCTAATTGGATGCACCTGACAAATGTGAGCTGCTCCGCAACCCGATTGCTACATGTCCAATCCCCTTCCTCCAGCTCGTTCGACGAAGATGAACCGCCGTTGAGAACACTACCCCTCCGCGAGACCCTACTCTCTTGCAAATAGGCATGGATCAGCTAAGTCCTTCACGAGGTGTAGCGCTTGTCGGCTTGCCTGGCAAAGGACTCAAACATCCTGAGGATTCGGTTTGTCCCAGACATGGCAGGTTTGCAACGGCTCTCACATGCCTCCACGCAAGTTGCACTGGCGATCAGCAGATGCAACATGCCGGCTAGACAACTTGTTGGATGGCAGCCGCATGTTTTCGGTTTCAGCCCTGCAACTAGTCACTCCGAAGATGCTATTAGCAACGAGGAGCACGAGGTCTACGTCGGTTTACGCACATCATCTAACCCTTTTAACCCTAAATCCTAAACCGCAGAACACAACTGCAACTGCCTCGACAGCTGGCATCCACGTCCATGCCGAACTCTTAGATGCTCTTTTGAGGCTTAGGGTTTAGGGTCCTGGTTAGCATAGACATCAGCTTGCTTGTCGAACTTAGGTTTTTGAAGTTTTCAACCACGAGCCTGTGATTAGTAGGCAAACTGATGATGACACCGTGAGAATATGACTAGTATCTAATGTAGGGGCCTTAATCATTAAAATAGGTTTTGGGGGGGATATTGTATTATAATATAATGAATAACACCCAAAAAATATATAGTATAGGTAATATAATGAATAACACCCAAAAAATATAGTATAGGTAATTATTTAGGCGGTTTAGGGTTTAGGGTTTAGGGTTTAGGGTTTAGGGTTTAGGGTTTAGGGCTTCAATACCCGAAGTCCTTGAACAAACATGCAGGGAGGACTTCACCTTGCCACCGCTGAAGACGTACACTTGTCCCTCCTGTGCTCCGTACACGTTTAGGGTTTAGGGTTCAGGGGTTTAGGGTTTAGGGTTTAGGGTTTAGGGTTTAGGGTTTAGGGTTTAGGGTTTAGGGTTTAGGGCAAACGGTTTAGGGTTCCGGGTTCAGCCTACTTGGAGGGTCGGGGGACTTAGCAACTAGTTATCTCATAGACTTATATATATATATATATAAGTACCACAACCCCAATTAGGATCCCTTTCAAGATACTTATCATCTCTACTTAATATCTACTTACTAAGTCCCCTGACCCTCCAAGTAGGGTTTAGCCTATGGGGCTCAGGTAGAAGGTCACTTGCAGAAAGTTCTCCCCTGTGCACTGCTCGGTCTGCTCTCTAACCTGATGGCGGTGGTTCCCGGTTGGGGTTTAGGGTCTCGTTGCGAAGATGCGTAGCGTAGCATTTTCCATTGCCCGTCACCAAGGACTTAGCGTGACGTACTGCGATTTGACATTAACTGGCCATCACATATCTTAAACCCTAAACCCGGGCCTAAACCATATCTTTCGTTGCAGCAAAACAAGCATCAACACCACCTGCCACGAGGACTGGCCGAGTCCCCCGCACATCCTACGAAGTCTAAAGCCGACAGGACCGAATAACATCTGATTACTTCGGGAAGCGGGTTTAGGGTTTAGGGGTTTGGGGTTTAGGGGACCCAACGTACTGCCATTACAAACCAGTCGGACGGTGGGCATCCAGGCACAACGTTCCCGAGGTCTACAACCAATAGAGCCCGTCACCTGTTGTCGGACCCTTAAAGGAGCCCTAAACCCCAAACCTCAAATCCTGAAAGACCATCACATGGGAAGTTCTCTAAATCGGGGTCCCTTTTAGGGACCCTTGTATAAATAAGGGTGCCGTACTTTCTGGCGGATCCAAAAAGGGACCCTAATCTGGAGAATTACCGACATACCAGGACGCGCCAGCCTGCAAGAGGCCGAAGAATTTGTCCGCAGCTGTGTTGAAGAAGGTGCCGCGGGTCTCTGCGCCCTCAGCTTTGCAGGACCCTTCACCCCAAAACCTAAACCCCGAGCCCTAAACCTTGAACCGTAAACCCTGAACCCCCGAATCCGAACCCTAATACAGCGTGGACGCTGCGTCTGCCTCTGGTTGCTTGTATGCAATCTCCTCCCCTTCCCGCTCCTCGTCCGCTCCGCCTACGGCGCCGTCAAGGCACCGGCAGTTCGCTGGCCCTCTTTGTTTGCGGTCGGGCCGAGACGGACGACGCGAAGCGTTTAAAATAATTAGAATAATAGGGTTTTGGGGCCCAGTATACTATAACTATAATAAAGAAGCCCCAAAACAGTATTGGTGATTATTTAGGCCTTTGCTTTAAACTTTAAACCCTCAATTTCTACACCCTATAGACCCCCGAACCCCAATAAAGGTTTTGGGGTTTAGGGTTTAGGGTCTAGGGTTTACCTTAAACCAAATCTAAACTCGAAGCCCTAAATCGATAAGCCACAGCCTCAGAGCCTCGTCCCAAACTCTGAATCCAACCTACGCCTTCCCTACCGTCTCGAGCGTCTACCTGATCATGCTTCGGGGTTTAGGTTCAGGTTTAGGTTTAGGGTTTAGGGCTTAATTTCGGGTTTAGGGCTCAAGGCTTTGGGTTTGGGATTTGGGGTTTAGGGCTTCGGGCTTAGTTTAGGGCTTAGGGCTTAATTTAGGGTTTAGGACTCAGGGCTTTGGGTTTGGGATTTAGCCCTAGCGTAGAGTTTGGAGCGTTTTAAGGCTTAGGGTTCAGGGTCTCAGGGCTCTAGGGCTTTAGGGTTCATTTAAGAAACTTGGGTTGAGGCTTTAGGGCTTAGCGTGGTTCTGTAAGGAATCTCTACGGGCTCTTAGGGTCGGGGGACTTAGTAAGTAGATATTTTAGTAGAGTTATAAGTATCCTAAAAGGGATCCTAATAGAGATTGAGGTTATGGTACTTAGAAGTCTATAAGATAACTAGTTACTAAATCCCCCGACCCTCCAAGTAGCTCTACGGGCTCTTTAAGGAAGAGGATTCCAGGCTGCCTGCGGCTGCTCCAGTCGGGAAGACTTCTTGCATAATGGCCTTCCCACAGCCTCCCCTTAAGGAACCCCAAAGAACCGCTAAAGGAACCCCAAAAAGCCCTCAAAGGAACCCGCTTATCTTCCTGCATCACAGCACTCCTCAAAGGGAGAGCTGCGATTATGCGTATTCGCTAACTTTCCGGCATCAGTCTGGAGGCCACGTGTTTGACGGAACATGATTCGAATCCCCAATCAAATCTACACTCACCGTGTGCCAGGTTTGGGGAGAGGCTTCAAGCAGTGACTGTAAGCCCTGCGAGATAACCACAAAATCCACATGTACTAAGGCATCGGGGAAGGGGGACGCTGCTGTGAGTCTGCTGCATGCACCAATTATCGGTAGCTGTCGAAACTGCATTGCCTTAAATTCACGAGCACCGCTGCCCTTAAACAATTCAAATTCCAGAAGCAGAAGCGCACAAAACACACACAAATCTGTCACAAAACCAACCGAAATTCCTGTAGCGCTTTTAACCCTAGACCCTGTTGACTTTATTGTTCCAACTTATTGTCTTGTGCTTCCTGCCTCGTTGTCCGTAAGGGTGACGCTGAAGAGTTGTCCCTCGCGGCCCCTGGCTTTGATCAGTGCAGCCCGGCTTGGGTTTCAGGGTGTGGGGATATGATTTGGGGGCCTTAATAGTTAGACCAGGGTTTTTGGGTGGTATTTTACACCATACTCGTAAGAAGGAAGCCCCATAATAGTTGGGGCCCTTCGTACTAGTATTATAATAAGGAACCCCCAAAATAGTATGGGTAATTATTTAGGCTTCTACATTCAACTCTAAACCCTAAATTTCTACACCCTAGACCCCGGAACCCCAACTCCCTTGGTAATTATTTAGGCTTCTACATTGTGGTTTGGGGGTTGGCTTCCGACTCTGAGGTTGCGAAACTGTCACAGGCACACGGTTGCAAGAAGACTTGCTGTTATGTCCTCAAGCTGAGAAATTCTAAGTTTGAAGCCAGGGGCACGTAGTATGGACCCTTAACCCTGCGATCCTTATATATCGACTGTATACTCTATATGTACCCTTAAGGGTCCCTAGAAAGGCGTAAGGGTCCATATTAGGGGCCCATGCTTCTAACCTTAGACAAATCCCGTGTCTTCCTTGCCGCTGGTCAACCCTAAACCCTAAACCCTAAACTGCAAACCCGGCCCCGATTACAGGGCTAAGTAGTGTGCTGTCAAGGGCATGGGCACAATGATACAGGGGTCAAGACAAACACACAACAGGGTTTTTTGGGTCATACTGTGGTACTGCAGCTATATGCGGACTATAAGTGGGCCCTAAACCCTAAACCCCAAAACCCTAAAGCCCTAAACCCTAAACTCTAAAATCCTAAAGCCCTAAACCCTAAACCCTAAAACCCTAAACCCCAAACCCTAAAACCCTAAAACCCTAAAGCCTTAAGCCCCAAACCCTCAATACTAATTCGTCCGACCGCTGTGATGCGGTCCATGGATGTCCAGGGTCTTGGGATGTGGGTTTGGGGTTCACGAAAAACTTTCAACCCTTAGGGTCTAGGTTTCAGGGCCTAGGATGTAGAGTTTAGGGTTTAGGGCGTAGGGTTTAGGCTGTAGAGTTAAACTTAGGGTTTAGGGTTTAGGGTGTAGGCTGTAGAGTTAAATTTAGGGTTTTTTGATCTACGTTAAATTTAGGGTGTAGGGTACAGTTCTCATGTGCCCTGTGGCCTTTTCGCGCATTTTTCCATGAGGGGTGTGGACTGGCTACCTCTCAAACCTACAACTTACTTCCCCAGTAAGCCAGGGACATAAACATGTTAAACTTTCAGATTACTACTGAATTGTAAGAACCCCAAAATGTTGAAGGTTGGGTATTGGGGAACTAAGCCAAAGATGCACGACCTTGTGCCAAAGACTCTACAATTACAACTCTTGTAACTGCACTCTTTCTGAGTTGTCCGAAACTTGTGATGCTTTGGTGGTGTTTCCATCTAAACCCCAAACCCGAAATTAAGATCATGTATCTGTCTCCACGGAGGTATGTAAGCCTAGTCACTATGGTTTAGGGTCTGGGGTTTAGGGCCTAGTCTTCGTGCGTTGTCTTGAGTGCGCGGTAGTTCGTAACCATCCGAACCACAAGCCTCACCGAGTCTGAACACACACACACACACACAAGTTTCTAGGGAGCCATGCCCCTTTTCACTCGCAAGTTGCGATTC